TACTGTTTGCTAAATGTTTTCACATGCAATGTGTCTTTTTATTGTCGTTAAACGTGACTTTTTCTTTTTATTGTTAAAGACCCAATCAGCTGTCTAAGCACTGAACTTGATCACTTCATCTTTCACAGTGTTTAATAAATCCTCCCTGTGTATGTGTGTGTGTCCCAGGAGTTAACCAACCTTGGGAAGCCGAAACGTCCACGATCCTCGTTCAACATTTTCATGTCGGAGCACTTTGAGGAAGCCAGAGGAAAAACAATCCAGGTCAGAAACACACACAGCGCAATGACGTAACATTTAAAGGGACAGTTTATTGTTTTGTTCATAAGGTGGAGTAAAAATCACACCCTGATGCAGCACTCACTAAAAATACTCAAAAGCAGTCAACTATACGACGATAAACGATAAAGCTGATGATGTGAAAGGTTCCTGCTTTAATCCCTGTGAGGTCAAATATCAACACCAGAGCAGAAAGCTTAGTTTCTCTCCTCCTGCGCTTTATATGACGTCACGACTGATAACAGTGCACATGACCCTGTAGCTGTTTAGTACAGTCTGTAGCTCTTCATTCTGGTCATTAATGTTATTGTTTTGTTGTTGTTGTCTCTTCAGGACAAGATGAAGTCACTGAGGGACGACTGGAGGAATCTGTTCAATCATCAGAAACAGGTCGGGCCAAGAGTTTTCACCATACGGGAATTTAGATACTAACGAGTAAAACTTGTCTCATGAATCTTATTTTGGACATTTTATAACTTCAATCGTTGAGCAGAGGGAGAGAGGTTTGAACTTAAATAAATGTACCTGGTGACATTACTGTCTCTCTCCTCTGCTCTCTGTCTCGTCTGCAACAGACAACAACATAACTCGAGCACTTTACGAAATGCCTAAATGACTTTACACAACATCAGCATTTGCCCACCTGTGGATGAGAAGTGTTTGTGGTGGCGTGGCTGTGACGGAGGGGGCGGAGCAGAGACACACCAGGCAGGAAGAGGAGCGAAACTTCAGCAGAACCAAACCTTTACTTAGCGTCGCTTGCTCTCTTTAGTTTGTTTGTATTTAACTCGCCCACCGCTTCTCTCTCTCTCTCTCTCTCTCTTACTTGTGGTAGCTTTTGGTAGATTTGATGACTGCCAGTTCATTAGCGATGGTACTATCAAGGTTGTCAAAATTCTTGATGCTCTCGGATACCAACCACATGCTCCAGCAGGCATAACGTTATGGTAAAAGTCATGGATATAGTATTGCTTTACAGCATGTGGTTGGTGTTGAAAAGAATCGAACATTTTGACAATGGCCTTCACCCAGCTGTGCACACGGTTACCGGTAATTAGAAGTTCAGTGTTCAGTATTCATCCCCCCCCCCTCCTGTTTGTTCTCCGTCTCAGGTCTACACGCAGCTGGCCGAGGACGACAAAGTCCGCTACAAGAACGAGATGAAGTCGTGGGAGGAGCACATGGTGGACATCGGACGAGAGGACGTGATCCGAGAGCAGACGCTGTCCGCCCAGAGAAAGGCCACCGCTCAAAGCAAGCCAGCGAAGAAGAAAGCTACGGCTCAGGCTAAGCCAGCGCAGAAGGCTGCAGCGAAGTCCAACACGACAAGGAAGACAAGCAAAAGTAGCACCGCAAAAACTGTCAGGACAACAAAGAAGAAGTAACGTGTTAAAGTCTACTGAGTTTAGAGAGAAGAAGTGTTTGACTGACAGCTAGAGGAAAGTTGAGATGACGCAGGGCGACGCTCCACCTGTTTCCACCTGGATCCCAGCTGGAGGTTACACGGAGACAAAGCTTTTACCAAATTCAGACAGATAAAACTACAACTCCCTGTTAATGCCTCATTCAGTGAAATCTAATCAGACAAAGAAAACAAAACCTGAAAGCAAGATTAATACAGTCAACATAAACACACACTGGCTCTGTTTGATTGGTTAAGAAAACAAGTGACCTGATGAAATGTAAGGGAGAAGTGTTAACGTGAATGTAGAAGGCACTGATAACCATTTTGTATCTATTTTTTTTTTTGTTTCATAAATCTGGGTTTAATCACTGTAAAAACGTTCAAGAAAATAACATTTAACGGTTTCCATCCCAAAAATATCAAACCTTTTCTATTTTGGGTGTTAATGCAGAGAAAAGGTCAGGAGGTAATCTGGGTTTGTGGCTCTCAGCTTCGAGCACACAAGTTCCTACTGGAGAAAAAACATCTCAAGAACTCCTCACATATGCAAAGAAGGTCCAGGCGTTTCCCTAAATAGCTTGATGCTAGTTTTTAGCAAACACAAGATGTATTTTGGGGTCATGAAGAAATAATAAGTAAATACCAGCATCTAGAAAGTGTGTGTTGGCTGTGTAAGTATTCTCTCCACAGGGCAGCGGCTCAGTATCCCTGGATGTAAAGGTTCAGACAGCACTTGCTCTACAGAGCAGATAGAATCATGGGTTCCCATCATGCAACCAGGATCAACTAGTCGAACCTTTCATCCTTAAGTTCAGCGTAAGCTTGTCCTGTTGCAACACCCCTGAACTGTGAATAAGTGACCGTTTGTCTTTCAGGACATCAATCACATTTTGACTGACTTTTTTTGTATTTTTAAGAATTTTGCATGGTACTGGTCGAGCTTTGTATGAGTTGCTTTTTTTCTGTTATCAGCTGTAAAAACAAAACAAACTGTTATAGCGGATAATAAAACGTTCTTTTTGTTCCCAGCGTGGCTTCTTCCAACTTATTGTTTACCCTCATGAAATATTTGTGAAACAAATGACGCTAACTGAATTTCTCTTAATGATCCTAAATGCAGATTCTCTCCGGTCCTGATGTATGAAGAATCACTTCCCTCTTCATGATGAAGAAAGTGTTCAGTATAAGTCTTGAATTAGATTTTAAAAGTTTAAGATCATAAAAACACTTATTTTGAATTTCCCAAATCTACACGGTCTTGTTAGTGTTCAATGTTTTTTATTACATTTTTTTCTGGGGGTTTGCTTTGTCATGTGACAATTCACGGCATTACAGCAGCATTTATAGCACCGTAGTACAGGAATTCACGAACCTCAAACAACAGAGATGAGAAGAATATGATGGTGATGAATTGCAAGTTTGAGGATATTTGACTTTAAGAGGAACAATACAGGAAGTGTTTGTCAGGAGCAAAGAATGATTATTAGGCTACATGCAAGATATGCAAAAGAAATCCCAATTATGGGGATGTTAAATTTGTCGATATCTTCTGACTGCTTCATCAGTTGCTACTTTATTGAAAGGGCTTCCACAAACTCAGGTTCTGGCTTTTACAAACCTTTGAAACATTACTAAGTTTAGAGCAAATGTCAAACTCTATTTACTCCCCCTCTCATGAAACATGGAACCAGATACATTCACAAATATATAATCATATTACTTATTACCTAAATAAAAGAGAATAAACTCTTACAGTCATCCTTATTTCCTCTCCCTCTCTTAGTAGCTCCACAAGGATACCATGTTCTCTACAGTTGTCTCAATGATCTATTACGATATTACGACTTTATCATATAAAACACAGAATATGTATAAACTTCATATGTATGAAATTCATATATGAATTGTACAGATAGCTCCTGATGCCTGATTATATATCAGCCTTTTTTTTGTTGTTGCTATTTCCAGGTTATGATTAAGCACCATACTTAACCACCTTTACTCCTCTCTGTCCTAACTGAACATACATTATGCTACTTTACTTGAAATTTCCCTTGAGCATGAAAAAAACAACTGGAGGTTGGCAACATCTGGAATAACAGCTGCTGTGACAGTTCAGTGGCTCTCTGAAGAAAAAGAACCGGATTATGATAAGAGAAACATGCAGGATCACAAAGAAGAACATGACACAGACGTATTAAAAATAGCATTTTATTGAAGTCTGCTAAATGATACAAAAGTTACAAATTCAAGCTGTACATCAGTGCAGTTAGTTGTTGAGCAGTCGAGGAATAAACATCAAAACCACTTAACAAACCAAACCTTTATATACAATGTGAATAAAAGGGAGCTTCAGTCTGTTACACTAAGACGTGTGAGGATTTGGATATTAAAGCACAAAACACAGTCGCTCATTTCTATGCTGGAACAAATAATGGAACTTCAGTAACATGATAACGGTTGTGTTGTTGTGTTTGGATGGTATTAGAGGTTATTTTAAGACTCTGATGTGATGCATGTTAAAATTGTATCGATACCTGTTTCCAAACCACGGCCACTGACGTAGAAATCCTACACACCCAATACAGTATAGTGCTTTTCAGACTGTAATATTGGTGTCCCAGTCTGTTAATTCACATTGTGTTTGAGTGGGGCACAGCGGGAGCACCACGTTTACACACAGTCACACATGCACATACACACTGTGCTGCACTCCCCCTGCTGGCTCCGCTGAAACCGTCTCGCTTCCTGTTACTATCTCTGAAGATGGTACAGAGGGGGGGGGATCACTTCACAAACACCTAGCTGTGGGAGCGTCACCCACCTGGGGGAGGGCTTACTGCCCTTTGTGATGTCACAAAGGGAAAATCTCCAAACGGCCTGTTTGAGCACATTTTCTGAAAAGTGGAGCAGGCAAAAGACAGAGAGAGGATGGACTTTTCTCATAATTGGGGGGTTTGTGGACGGACTAGGGACACATGTTAGCATTAGCAAAAAAACATTGGCACTTCTTTGTACCGTCAATCATGGATTGTATTGTTTTAAAACATGTGGTATCTAAAAGTATTGAAGGGGTCAGAGCGTAACTTAAATCAGATTATTACCGAAGGCTGATGTTCTGTCTGTAGAGACCATAGACTGTAGATAAGAAGAGTCCGTCTTTGTTTTTGGATTACCATTTTGAAGCCATGAGTTTAGCATTTAGTTGGCTTCACCTTTTTCTTTGAACCAGAATCTATAAAACAGATTAATTTTGTCTCCCCTACGCCTTGTCGACAGGACGCTGAGGTAGCTGTAAATAACAAGTGACCACACGTTAAAATGTACTCTGCTTTATCACCCATCATTAACAAAACGCTCATTAACTTTTACTGAAGACTTAGGAAACAGTCTACATAAACTTATTAGATAACAGTTTTCAGAAGTTAAAAATACTTATTTTTCTAACCAGTTGAGGCGCCCCCTAATGGCCAATAAAATGAATGCACGTTTAAGGCACTTCTGAAATAAGCTTCACCTTTGAAACAAATAGGTAACGTCCACTTCTTATATACAGTCTCTGATAGGGACAGAGTCTCAGTAAAGAATCTGACCTCTGGTAGCGGGTTATCAGTGCTCTTTAACACGTATTAAACACGATTTGTATAGTTCTAAAATATATATCTTCTCTGAAAAGCTTAATAAGATTTTCGTACAAAACGGCAACATTTTAAGGGTGAAGATAATCAAACAGGTGAGATACCGAGGGTCACATAGCTGCCTTATTAACCTCACAGTTGAAGTCAACAGATTTAAGACTAGCTGTCATTTCCCCTCCACGTTCATGAGTTTGTGCAGTAACCTTTACCGCATCAGTAATAACATCATCGTTTAAAGAAATGGTTACATCACAGAGTGTGTAACGTCTTGAAGGGGGGGGTAAAGTCTTGTGGCATGAATCAGGGTCCTTGTTGTTTCTGTGTTGAAGATTGTCTCAGTAGAGCCTGAAAGTCCGGAGATAGAACCAGCTTGTGGTTGACGTTCCCCAACACCATCATGTCCCCGGTCCGACCGTCAGACAGATTCACTGACACCAGTTGCTGCAGCAGAGAGAAGGACAGATTGTCAGTATGTGAATATTGTAATGATGAAACTGGAATTCATTAAAAAAAATCAACTCCTCTTTGTAAACATGTTTATATCTGCTTTATCTGCACTTAAATACTTTTATAGAGGGTGGGTGGATATGATATTTTTGTGGTGTTTCACAGTTTGTTTGGCTTTATTTGACCCAAAAAAATCATTTTTTTAACATTTTCATTTTTGAGTTTTATGTTCAGGCTGTTCCACAAACCCACCCACTGATTCTGCATTTAACGGTTCTATTCAAAGCGGTGCGAGTTGTCTCTTTCCATATTAAGTATTCTTTAAATCAATGGGAGAATAATCCAAACAGACATACCCACTAGGTGTACCTCAAATGTTTTTTTCAGTCAGTTTTTTTGTCAATAAATATACTTTTTTTTGCAGTTATTTAGATTTGGCGGTATATGGCTCTGTTCTGGGATCTTCCTGCCCTTCCACCTGCTTACGTGGAAAGCATTAGGCACCCTTCCTATCCAGACAAGGAAAGCCCCAAGGCAGGGAGAGGAGCAGCAAAAACTAAAACAGAGAAGGAATAAATGCCAATAGCCATACATAGGAGGAGCTGGGGGGAGGAGGGTTTGGGTGGAGGCAGAGGGAGCAGCAAAGAGTAGGCAGGCTAGAGCAGCTGGGTGCTGTTAGTGGTTTAGCCATTAGGATGCTTTGTAGCAAATCAGCTGGCATGAGATCAGCTGTTATCAAAAACACTAGCATGATAGCAGAGAGTGACTCCGTGGCCTGCCTGAGCTAACACTACGCTCAATTTTTTGTTCTCAGTATATATAGGAACCAAATTCTACTGTTGTTGACAATATTTGTTGATTTACAGGACAGCCATAGCTGACAGGAAGTTTGTCAGATACTGAATATCTTTGGAGCTTGGACGTAATATGATTGACACCTTAGGCTCTAAAAACTTGTGTTGGAAACCTTTAACAGACTGATCAACTGGTTTACCAAAATCAAGAATGAGAAGAGTTTTTTATCACTCCACATTCTCCTGTCTGACTGAAGTTTACTTTTATTGCACAAAGTGACATGTACAGATACCCAGCACACACGCACGCACGCACGCACACACACACGCACACGCACAGTACCTGCAGGAAGGAGAAAGCAGCTCCCTCTGAGACATCCATGACGACGTCTCCCAGCTTCAGCTCCACCTTCCCCGACCTCCTGATCTGCAGTTTACCCAGAAACCCCTCTGGGAACTGTGACAGCACTGGACAGCTCTCCTTCCCAGCAGCTTCCTGAGGGCACACACACACGCACACGCACACACACACACACACTATTTAATCTTTTGTCCTATTAAATATCTATAAGGCAACTACACACTCGTACGGTGAGAGCAGAGCGATGAGCTGATTTCCTGAATATGGGACTTTCCACACTGACTTTACCTGCACAAACTGACACACAAAGTCATAAATCACCATGACAACCGAAGGCATGCCTGTTTAATCTATCTTCCCCCTTCTATCAGGAGAGAAACACTGGCAGGAAATATCTGCAGGCCTATTAGTCTATTAGAGCCGAACAAATGAGACAACTGAAATGCACAGATCAATCTTCAACCTCCGTCTGTTAGAGTTTTCTATTGAATACTTGTTTCTACAGACGTACAGTGTATGCCAGGCTTTAGTTTTTATTTGGTTTACCCACTTGTGCTTGTAGATATGCAGGCCTCTTGTCCTCAGCCTTGCCTTCCTTTTTGGCAGCTTTCTCTGCGGTAGATCCAAGTGCAGAGTCCCCCTTCTGTCCCGACGCTCTGCCAGGCATGCAGTCCGGTAACTGCATAAAGAAGAGCTCCTCTCTGCCAGAAAGGCTCAGATCCTGCAGCAACTCTGCCAGAGGGGGCTGCTCTTGTTTGGGAAACTCTGCTGCCAAGCGGGCTGACCGACTCTGAGCTCTGCAGGGCGGAGGTCTGAACAGTGGAGGGTTCTCAGGACCTGCCAACAAAACAAACAAACGCAAAATGAATCCGAGCTCGAACTGCAACATACACAGTATGAAGTGTGTCAGGCGGCAGTAGTAAGAGGTGCTTTACTCACATGTTGACGAGGATATGACGGACTGACAGAGGGGCAGTTGGATGGGTTTCAGCTTTGGTTCGTTCCTCAGACCTGGATCATCGATGAACTGTGGTAGGAAAATAAAACATTACATAAGAACATTGTTAAGCTATGGGTGATTATTATCAGGGCCCGACCGATATGGGATTGTTTTTGCGTCACTGCTTGACCCTCTGGAGAGTAATAATGCTTGCTGTGATCCATGTAGCGCCCTCTGCTGGTGAATGAAAACTGCTAGTGTCATACAATGAAACTCAAATGAAATGATATTTGACTGATGAATAAACCTAGTAATATCAGCGCCAATCATAGAAGGAAAACAAAACTTTAGCTCTTCAGTGGTATTTATAACCAAAAGCTGCCACTAAGAGAGAGAGAGAGAGAGAGAGAGAGAGAGAGAGAGAGAGAGAGAGAGAGAGAGCACTGTTTCTAAATTGCACAAACACATCTTCAACTTTTTGATTACATGCAATTTTATGTTTTTAAAAACAAGAGATTACCCAATAATGGGTGACTAGGACTTTTAGTTTTGTTGCAGTGGCATCAATTGTTTGGTCGTTTGGTTTGGACTAAAATCGGATCGAAGTTTAATGTCTGCTATCTGACTAAACTAGAATCTTTCCTCTTAAGTCAAGCACACAGCAGGAGATACCTACATCATCTCTCTGTAGTTTGGAAAGAATCTCATCGTCATCGTCCTCAGACTCGGTCCTCTCCTTCTTCACCAGTTTGCACACAGGAGAGCTGGTGGAGTCGTACGGGTCAACAGCACCACGCCAGCCTGAACAGAACAGAACGACGGGTTCATAATTTAACTGAACGTTCAGTCCACTCCAGGGAAAGCGAGAAACGTCTGCGCACCTGTTTTGCGTATGGTGTCTGCAGGGCCCTGTTCAAAGATGGAGTGAGACTGTATGGTGGGAGGCCTCTCTCTCCTCCTCCCCCTGTTCTCTCTCCTCCTCTCGTCCCTCTCTCTTCTCTCCTTTTTTGGAGGCGCACGGACCTCCTCCTTTAACCTGAGGATGTATGGGAAATGCATAGTAACTCAAAAACATATGGTACAGACATTCAGTTTTCAAAACCTTCAATAAAAAGGAGACTTTAAATGTTTTAATGAAGGTCACTTACTCGTCTTTGCTTTTCCTCACAGTGTGGATGTTTGGCTCAAAAGTTTTCTTTGAAAAGACAGAAATACAAACAGCGTTACCGTAAAACTTCAAATAAAGGCTCATCCCATTTTAAAGCCTCGTCCCTTTTACGGGCCTGGTGTTGCTGTACGTTTTGACAAATAAAAGCATGTCTCAGTTAAGCTGTTTCACACTGATTGCCTTTAACTTATAGTATCACTGATTGCACAGCTCCCTATGTCAATACTGTCCATTTACAACTCTGTTTTTGCACATTTACATTTCATCTTTCATATTTAATCTTCCTATTTAAGACTAGTAATGCTAAGTTAAATCCTGGTTGTATATATTCTCATTCTTAGTTTTGATATTTTTAGTGCTTATTTACTTTGTATTTAATATTATATTGTGTTTAGATTAGATAATATTGTGTTTTTTGCTAATATTGTGTGTTTGGACAACCTGCTGCTGTAACGCCACAATTTCCCAGTTTGGGATCAATAAAGTAATTCTATTCTATTCTATTCTATTCTATGCTCCTCATAGCGAGGGAGACTATCCCCGTCAGACGGGAGGGGTCTCCTGAGGTAAGACTTGATGTAAAAAAAAGTCTGCCTTATCACTGTAGACACTTGTGCATGGAGCGAGAAAGCCAGAGCCACCCAAGCCCTTCCAGAGAGGGGGCGTGGTCAGACACAGCTCATTTGCATTTAAAGCTACAGACACAGAAACAGCCTGTTCTGAGCAGGGCTGAAATAGAGGGGTTTATAGCATAATCAAATACAGGATCAGAGTAGATTTATAACAAGAAACTTCACAGACATGTTTTGGGGACTCTGAGACTGAGACTTTTTCAAACTTGTTGAAAAGGAGGATAATATGTGACCTTTAAATGTTTGATATTAAATGTAATCACTAGAAAAATCAGATTTTTTATGGTCTCACACGTTATGTATTTATCCTCCTCATCTGATCTATGCACCCTGCTTTAATGTAAATACTGTCAATCTATCTACTTCCTGTAAATGAATGAATTATGTTAGTTTATTTTATTTAGTATTTCATTTGTAATTTAGGTACGCAGTCAAATTGCTGGTATATACCTGGTCAATAAAGCTGATTTTGATTCATTTGAAATTTCTCAGATATGATGCGTTTATTGTGTTTTCCTTATAATTTCTCATCCTATATCCTCATCCCATGTTGTGATTGGTATCAGAGTGCCATATTTCTGCCTACAAAGCCCCCATGCTGCACTGATGTATTGTTTTGGGGATGTTAACATTGAAAGTCATTTCAATTTCAATTTCAAAATTCAAGTTCTTCACCTTTTGGGCAGTTGTGAATTTCTAATATCAAGCTTTAAATTCATATGGTCAACCTTTGAGTTATTATTCATTACCTTGGGTTTCTTGAGGGCTCCTCCCAGTGTGAGGTCTCTGCTCCTGAGGGATGTCAGTCTTCCAGGTGGAGCAGCAGAGGACAGGCTCCTGACCCGCCCAGGGAGTGTTCCTCTGCCCGCCTTAAAAGCCAGCCCGGCCCCGCTGCTCAGGCCGGAGGTACCGGGAACACTTGCTGTATCTGAGTCAGTCATGTTGTGGTACCCAACCCTCCTCCTACTTATCCTCTAATCAATTCTTTACTTTGCATGTGGTTGTAGGTGACACCTCCTCATGTGCATACAACTAAATGGGCAATAATAGCGCTTAATTCTGGAGGGTAAAATGTTACAAATTCGGTGTTTTGAAGGGGGTCTACTTTGTTACTCCTTACTCCACGGCTCTCCTCACTGGGTCTTGTCCTTTAAAAATGTTTTTTTTTGTGCAGAAGAGATAGTCCTTTGATGAAATGATTCGCATTGAAGTCCGCGGTTGTAACGAAGAGCAAAGCACAGGTCCATATTCACCACACAACTTACTACCGCTTACTACCCTCCATTTTGTTTTTGTGCGGAATCAAAACAAACTGCGCCAAACGCAGACTTGCACTCACCGAGACGTAAAGCTTCCTCCTCTATGCCAAAGCGAAACCTTTCTGTTTTTAAGTTATGGTCTCAGTCCCTTGCTTTGCTCAGCAGCCTTCGTCAACACTTCACATCTTGCACACATCTTCTTGGTCTTAACCCCGCGGTGCTTCCTGACGCTGGATGCAACAATTTAAAAAAACAAAACACTGCTTCTGCTGACTTAAAATGTCACATATGCATAATTTAACCAGTTAATATCATCTCAGTAGATCCATTTGGCCGCCTGTTCTCCGGTTTAAATGTGCCTACTTCCCGTTGTTCTTCTTCTGCTATTGTTGTTATTAAACGGTAGTGAGCAGGTGACACCACAAGAGGGCGCTGTTTGTCTGATCAGTAGACCAGAGTCCTGTGATGTGGTCCAAGAAACTGAAGCAGGTTTACAGAGGACGGAAGAATAACATGAAATAGCAACTCAATTGTTAAAGTAATATGCCGTTAAGTGTTTCAAAATTATATTATTATTATTATTATATCCTGGACAATTACCTTCTTTACATTATTTACCGTATTAATTTCCTTTTACCCAATATTGGGGAGCCTAATCTCGTTTAAGCAAATTATCCAAATGACACAAACACAAGAAAAGTTTGTGTATTTTTATAATTTGTACAGGTCTGTCTTGTTCGCTCGATGCAGCATTTGGTTAAAAAAAACACAGAAGATATGTAGTTTTTCTTTTTTTTTAAATGTTGATACTCTATGATACAATCCAGAAATTAGTTCATTAAAAAAACAAAACATGGCAGGCTATGAAAGGGAAGAACGCATTCTAAACTTTGAGGAATTCGAGAACATCCAAAACATTTGCTTTGATTTTGAAACTGGAGAACGTATTCACACGGACAGTGATCGTTAAACTTGAACAGAGATGAAATCGTTTAGTTGGTGGTTGTGAAAACATTCTGATGTTTCACTTTTAAACAGACTTGTTTCAACACTCGGTCGCTCCTGAGTCAGATCAACGCTGAATGTTTCACTTGAACCTGAAACACATTCATGACCTCTGATTTCTGACTAGCTAAAATATACGCAGTCCATAATGATTACCGATGTTTTTTTGAAAACCTAAATACTCACCCGAACTAATCAAAGCAACACAAACACATTTTAATGACCTTGGCTTCTTCTATGTTTCCTCAGAGAAATGTGGTGTGATTCAAAACATAATCCCCCTCTTCTTGAAATGATTCTTTAAGAAATGTTATAACATTTTATGTTTGTTTTTTTGCAATGTTGGCTTCATGGACGGGCCCATTGAGCTGAACTGTAAGTCTGACATCTGAACTTCTCTCAGTCAGCTACAAAAATAGATCTGAGCCAGCCGAGAAGGGAATGTTACCAAGGAAGCTAATGCCACTGATCCAACACACAGGCACTGACATAAAGAAATCACGATTGAGGAGGGCCCAGCCACGTCTGTGGTCTGATTAGAGCACACTGACTAACTTTATGTGCCTTACTCTGAAAATGCAAAGAACATACTGAGCACTGAATTTGATGACTTGACTTGTTAGATGATCTCTTTCCCTCGTACACAATTTAAACCACGCCTTCTTTCTCTAGTGATTATATATTCCTCCAATAATGTGTAACTTTAATTGTTTTAGTTTAGATTAGATTTTAAAACGTTTCACATGGATTGTATGTAATTGATGATTTAACTAAAAATGTATAAAAAATCTCTCTTTTACGACATTTCTGACTGTTTTGTTCCCATTTTTCAAATTCTCAGTTATACTTGAGTACGCAAAATTAGATACAAATAATTCAGCTATGTTTTGTTTAAATTCTGCTTTTAGCTATATTATTTAACTTGCTGAATCTGATATTGGTTGTTCCCTTTCTTCTGTTTATTACGAGCTCTGTACAGCTCTCCTACAGAGCTTTCATTGAATCAATCCTGTCTTTTTCTCTTGTTTCATGGTTTGGTAACCTGACTCTTCAAAACAAAAACGCTCTCAATCAAATTGTCAAGTGGGCGAGCAAACTTATAGGAGAGTCTCAATCCAACCTGATGGATCTCTATTCTTTACAGCTGCAGGGTGTGGTGAGCACTATTTTTAACGCCCACTCTCATCCCTTAAACGGGGAGTTTCAGCTTCTCCTCTGCTCTAGCTGTCGATTTGCTGCTCCGAAAAGGAGAACAAAAACACTACAGGAACTCTTTTATACCTGCAGCTATCTCACTGCTGAACAAAGCTAGCACAAGATGATGCTCTTTAACCATGTCGGGATATCTTCAGCTTCTTAACAGGTGTCTGTTAAGAAGGTGTCTCCTGTGTGTGTGATTACTTGATGTGTTTCCCCTGTGTCTAGTTGTTTCTACTTCCCTTCAGTATTTAGTCTCTGTGGTTGTTTTCAAAACTGCCTGCTATTTAAGCAGTACGTACTGATTTGGCAAAAACGCAGTATGAAGTATACGAACAAATGCGAGAGCCGCAGTATGCCAAAAATACCCGGATGTCGTACTGATTCAGGAGAAATATTCACCTCGAGTACTGTTTCCCACACTTCAAATCGTCAGGTCAGAGATCAAAACGACGGACAGAAACGACCATCGTAACGGGAAATAATCAGCAACGTAGTATGCTGTATCAGTATGCAGTAAATAAGGTTTGATAGTATTTGGAAATCTGAAGTGTGTTAGGCAGTTTCCCAGATGTACCACTTGGTCTTATTCCTTCCCTCGTGTTTTCTCATACTTTTTGATCAGACCATTTGATTATTGACTCCTGTGTAACATCGTGACATAGTGCACATATAAACCCACTTTGTTTAAACCTTGTGAGAAAGAGTGAACATGAACTCATAAGTCATACAATCACTAAAGAGTCCAAAGATCAAACACTTATTAAGTTACTTTGTCATCATTACAATTCATATTTTAGTTACTATAGTTGGGTCGACAGTTTCAGTTTGTTGGAGTTATAACCCTCCATGTTTCGATTCTTCAGAGTGTGATGTAATGTGTTTTTTATACTGACTTCATCTCTTGGATTATGGATAACAAGTCAATGCCCCAAAGTTCAAAACAGTGCCGTTGGTTCGAGGGCAGAATATTTATTTTTTAAGTCAAAAGATGGTTTATTAACTCTCACCATGTGTTATAGATCTATGGTCAAAATATTGAACATTGTGTGTTCCTGTTCACAGATTGAAACTCTATTCTATGACCTGGAGATTTTAGGTCAACATAGACACAATCACAAAGGAAGTTTGTTGAATTTTATTTTAGAGATTTTGTGATGGCCTGAGCCACACAGGGATAATATCACTCACCCACATTCTCACCTCATTGTTCACCAGCACATGATTATTTTGCAGTCAACCACACAAACAGCTGACACACTTAATTGGATTTATTATGAGTTTATTTTTGTATTTAGTCATGCATTGTTTAAATTTACTGCACACAGTTTATACATTGTAAGACTAAACACTCATTTCAGTTACCTGGATGTTGGGGGAGGGAACTTCCTGATCTAGGCAAAAGGCGTGGCACAATATGTCTGTAAATGTTTTTATTACTATATTTCTACTGCTATATTGTATATTTTAGAGCAACTGCAACGATTAAATTTCCCTCTGTGATTAATAAAATATTCCTAATACTGATTCTGAAATAGAGGACCTTAGTGGGAGTGACCTGCGGTGTTGTGCATTCTGGAATTTGGTGTCTTTCATCCACATGAGCCAAAAAGACACTTTCTGCCTTTTCTCAGCCAAGAAGGCACCAACTTCAACATTTATTTCACATTTCTACTACATATATGACCCAATGTCAATACAGATTCATGTTTCAACGGGTGAAGTATCCCTTTAAACACCATATTGTTTGGAGAGGAGATTTTAACTCGCTTAGCACATTGTGGGAGGGGAACAGGCTGATAGAAATGGGGAAATAATAGAAAAACTTTTGGAAGACAGAAAAATGGACTTGGGAAATGGACTTGAGCTTGTATAGCTCTTTTGAAGTCTTCTGACTACTCAAAGCGCTTTTACACCGTATGCCACACCTACCTAGAAAATAATGAGTCTTAGAAATGTGTTGAATAAAGAGGAAGGGAAATATACAGCCTTGTTTAAATTTCTGAAAGAAACTAGACTAGTTAAAATATTTTTTTTATTTTTATTTTTTATTTTTGTGTACATTTTTATTTATGTAATAGTCATAGGTATTCTGGCCCACACTCCAGCATATTAGGTGGCGGTAATGCACCTTAAAAGCTAGTTGCCACATGCCATTTTTTTTTTAAAAAGGAGAAGAATTGTATCAGGGCTGTTTTTTGAGTTCATACCTTATTTTTCATCTTGTTCATTGAAAGTTAGATTAAATTGGCCTCCTTTAAAGTCCTTGTTGTTATAATTTGGTGGGTAAACAGTTTATACAATGGTGTGTAAACACTCAATTCACTTGTACTAATCATTTCTTTCTTTTGAGTTACGTGCATGTTGGGGAGAGAACTTCCTGATCTGGGCAAAAGGCGTGGCTAAGGGCAGACCAAGTTCTTAGACCAGGATCCTCATTGTCTTGAGAGAGAGAAGCTCGATCTACATCAGTGGTCCAC